TAGCCTTAATATGGATATAGTGTGGTATATTTTGAACACATTTTCTTTTGTCTGGCACCCCTCAAGGCGAATAGGACCAGACTACAGCCTTTATTGTAATGTATATGTCCTATTTCCCAAGCTCCACAAACATAGAGTTTGTGTTCTGTTTTCTAAAGCCTGGACAGGTTGATAATCAAATGATATTTGTTCTTGTTGGTTCTTATTCAAGCCATTATTTTTCTCACCAGCCTCTTTTAGATAAGCCATCCCTGAGTCCATTTATTCTTATATCCTTCTCTTTCTAGCTTATTTATTAATTTGCCTTTTCTTGATTTTAAATTTAGGCAAGTATCTGTTGAAGAGACACAGTACATCAATTCATAGCAACTTATAAAAATGCTTCACATTTTATTTTGCTTCCTGACTGTGGGATTGTGCCTTCTCTATGTTCACAGTGATTTTCTGCTTTTTAATAAGGAACTTATATTGGATCTCATCATGGACACACTCCGTAGCTTGTGGAAACACCACAGGCCCCACTGACATGGTTTTCCACTTTAGATAATCTCATAAGGACTTTAGGTCTCACAGCATGAACCCCTTGAAGTCAGCTTGAGTACATACCACATACAGATGTTGGTGCATAGATATACAGGCATACAACTCTATTACCAGAGGTTAAGAACTGCCTAGCTTTGTTAGAGATTGTATTGTAGAAAAGCTTAAGATAGAACGGTAAATTCTGGACCTCTGTGAAAATCTCTAAATGCTGTCCCTATTCACTATACTTTAAAGGTGGGAACACTGGAGGTGCTGGCCTTGAACTGTTTCTGGAAAGAAATCTTCAGACATTCAATGTAAGTAGGTTTTCTTGGCTGTTCCCATTTTCTTTCTGTTTCTGCTTCCCACTATCTTGATTGTTACTTCAACAATAGTGCTCTGTTACTGCTCTGTGGTCCATTTGCTTTTGGCCTCAGCAGGAAGACTTCCCTTTCACATATCTATTTGCTCCTATTATGTGGAAATTATGGTTAAAGTAGCTGTACATCTGTTTACTCGTTCTGCAAGTGACTTTGCTTACTCTCAGTGGTTGTTTTTGATGCTAATAGTGCTGTTTGCCTTGCTTTATTTGAGATCCTCAGTTTTGCTGGCCATTGGTAACCAGTAAATAAAGATAATAGATTTTCACCAGTTCCCATCCCTCTTTTAGCAAATCTTCCCTGAATAAATATGGGGAAAAATAATCTTATTTTCTTCCTGTTTTGTATTTCTTAAAAAATCTTCCTTCCCTTCCTTCCTTCCTTCCTTCCTTCCTTCCTTCCTTCCTTCAGTCCTTCCTTCCTTCCTTCTCGTTTGCATCATCCATTCATCAATCCCCCCCCCAAACTCCTCCCCCTCCTTTTCTATTTAAGAACAGGCAAGTCGCCTGTGAAAGCCAAAAAAAAAAAAAAAAAAAACATGGCATATCAAGTTGCAGTAAGACTAAGCAACCCCTCCTCATTGCCTGAACAAGGCAATACAGTATGAGGAATAAGGTTCCAAAAGCCAGCAAGAGAGTCAGAGATAGCCTCTGCTCCCACTGTTAGGAGTCCCACAAGAAGACCAACTGTAACATATAAGCAGAGTGCCTAGGTCAGTCTCTTAAAAACTCCGTGGTTGTCTGTTCAGTTTCTGTTGCTCCTATTAGCCCAAGTTTGGTGATTCTGTGGTTTTTCTCGTGGTGCCCTTGACCCCATTAGCCCCTACAATCCTTCCTGCTCCTCCTCTGCAGGATTCTCTGAGCTTGACCTAATGTTTGGCTGTGGGTTTCTGCATCTGTTTCCATCAGTTGCTGGGTAAAGCCTCTTTAATGATAATTGGGTGAGGAACCATTTTGTGAGTATAGCAGAGTATCATTAGGAAGCATTGGAATCACTCCATTGACTTTTCTTTTTTTCTTCATTTCCTAGGCATGTTTGGTTCTATCTTAGGTTTTGGGCTATCCAGTGTCTGGATCCTGGTGCTTCAGTTGGCGTCAAGGATAGCCCCCCACTCATGGTATGGGTCTGAAGCTGGACCTGTCACTGGTTGACCACGCCCACAAATATTGTGCTACCTTTACCCCAGCACATCTTGTAGGCAGCACAAATTGCAGGTTGAAGGTTTTGTGGCTGGTTTGGTGTCTGAATCCCTCCACTGGAAGCCTTGCCTGGTAACAGGAGATGGCCAATTCAGGCTCCATAGTTCCCATTGCTAAGAGTCTGAGCTAGGGCCATCCTCATAGATTCCTGGGAGTTTCCCTTGCAGCTTTTAATATTCTTTATTGTTGTTGTTGTTCTGTATGTTTAGTGTTTTGATTATTATGTGGTGAGGGAACTTTCTTTTCTGGTCTAATCTATTTAGTGTTCTGTAAGTTTCTTGTACCTTTATAGACATCTCCTTCTTTACATTAGGAAAGTTTTCTTCTGTGATTTTGTTGAAGATATTTTCTGTGCCTTTGAGCCGGGAATCTTCTCCTTCTACTCTTATTATTCTTAGTTTGATATTTTCATAGTGTTCCAGGTTTCCTGCGTGTTTTATGTCAGGAACATTTTAGATTTAACATTTTCTTTGACCACTGTAACAATTTCTTCTGTCATTATCTTCTACATCGGAAATTCTTTCTTTCAAATTCTTGTATTCTGTTGGTGATACTTGGGTCTATAATTTCTATTCACTTACCTATATTTTCCATCTCTGGGATTCCCTGTTTGTATTTTCTTTATTTCTTCTATTTCCATTTTCGGGTTTTGAATTCTTTTATTAATTTCTTTCCTTCATCTGTTTGTGTTTTCCTAGATTCCTTTAAGGGATTTGTTCATTTTGTTTTTCAGAACCTCTATCATCTTCACACGATTGGATTTAAGTTCATTTTCTTGTGCTTCTGCTCTGTTGGAATATACAGGACTTGCTGTAGTAGGACAGGTGGGCTCTGGTGATGTCACATTCCCCTGGGTGGTGTTGTGCTCTTATGCTGGTCTCTAGTCATCTGGGTTTCTGGTTTTTATCAGTTTAGGTGCTGGTTTCTGAGTTTATCTTTGTTGGATGGCTGCTTTTTGGATGTCCCCTCAACCCTGCTTTCTGTTTTCTCTCTGGTCTTCTGGCCTAAGTGGCCTGTAGTTCTTGCAACCAGAATGTCTTCAGGTCTAGTATGGTGTCTCTGCTGGAGATTTGGTGGCCTACTTGGATTCTGGGGTTTTGGGTACTCATTTTCTTTCTGAGGTCGTGGGGTTCTTGGAACTGGCATGGCCTCTGGGGTCCCAGTTATCTGGGGTTTATGGGGTTAGTAGGTGTCTTCTGGGGTTCCTAGTACATGCGTGTTCTTTAGTAGAGCAGGAATCTAATGTTGGGTTGTAGGTCAGGCTATGGAGCCCAGGACAGGGGGTGCCCTGGTTTCATACTGCTTATGTATAAGTTATTCAATGAAGAAGCTTAAATAAAATTAATTGCATTTTAGGAATACAGTACTGATATTATCTTTCTCTTGTACTAGTTTTCTACAGTTTGCCTGGTCCTTTGATTTTATTTTTAGATTAGTGGTTGTCTTTTTGAAATTTAGAAATAATATAAAAATGGGCAGTAATATGCAGTAAAACTTCTCATTTGCACACTTCCTCTTCTTTGCTAGGTTATCATTACTCAACTCCATGGATAACTGCTCTGTTTAATTTCGAATATATCATAATCTCAGTATTTTTTATGTATGTGTTATGTGTGGAATATATCATCTAAGCATTTTAATGTATGTGTTATGTGTGGAATATATCATCTCAGCATTTTTTACGTTATGTATTATGTGTATTCCTCAAAGTAGAAATCAGTCACACTAGGTGGTGGTATTCGGAACAAGGCTTTAGGGCTATGATTAGGCTAGGCCTATGGAACATTTATCAATATGATTAACCCTCAATTGCTAATTCCATATACTAATGAACACAGATTATAACAACCTAGAAGCTCTTCCAGAGAAAGTTTTTAAAAGAATGATTACACCTATGTCCCAGGAACCAAAGGGATGAGTGAGATAAAGAAGACAACCCAAGAGATGGAACTGGCCAGGAAAAGTTAAACTGAAACAATGCTGGAAAAAAAGCAAAAGCAAAAGCAAAAACAAAGCAGTAAGTGAAAAAACCTCAGTGGAAAGCATTGCAAGCAGAATCATTTGAAAATAGAGACTCGGGGATTAAAGACAAGATATAGGGACGTGGGAGAGTTTCGAGAGACACAGAAAGATCTAACCTTTAAGTTGTGGGCATCAAAGGAAAAGAATGCTAAAGGGCTTTAAGAAATCACAGAAAAAAAATTCAAACCTTGAAAAAGAGATGTTTATCATGACACTGGAGGCCCACACAAAAACAATTAGACAGGACCAGAAAAGAATCCAGCATGACATATTATAGATAAAACATTACAAAAGAAAAAGCAAGGTTATTTAGGGTCTGAAGGGATGGCTCACAGTTAAGACCACTGTGGTTGGTTTTCTATTAAGACTTTGGTTCAATTCCTATCAACGGTAGCTCACAAACCTCTCTAACTCCAGTCCTAGAGGATTAGTTACCCTCTTCTGGCCTCCACATGGTACCAGGTATACACATTGTGCACAGACACACATGTGGGCCAAGTACTCACACACATAAAATAAAGTAAAAAAGAACAAAACAAAACAATAGAGAATCAGAAAAGGTGCTGTAAGTTGTAAGGAAGATAAATGTCAAGTCATTTATAGGCAGGCCCACTGAAAAATTGAAAGCCAAAAGGACCTGGAAAGGTGTGTTCCAATCTCTCAGAGACCACAACTGTTAACTAAGACTTTTATATCCAGCAAAAAGAGTAATTCAAGCTGAAAGAGAAATGGGACTTTTCTATGATAAAAACATACTAAAGGTATTTAGGGCCACTAAGCCAGAGCTAGGAAAGATACTAGAAAGAATACTTCAGCCTGAAGGGAAAGATAAACACAGTCATGTGGACATAGGAAAGAAAGAAAAATACCAGGATAGATGACCAAAACAAGTGAAATTAAACACCAGACTTTCAAGGAAGAACGAATACCAATATTGTTCAAATTATTGTGTAACCTGGAAAATGACTGCGTCTTAGCTAGAGTTTCTATTGTTGTGATAAAACGCTATGAACAAAAGCAGCTCTGGAGTAAAGGATTTATTGCAACTTACAGTTCCAAATTCAGTCCATCCTCAGAGGACATCAAGGAAGAAATTCAAGGTGGGAACCTGGAGGCAGGAGCTGATTGGTATGTAAAATAAGATTGTAATTAATTTAAATAAAAATTAATTAAAAAATAAAAAGCTATCCATTACTGAATTTAAAAAAGTAAAAAAGATGTAGTCTTTTGACAAAATCCTACAAGTTCTTCTCTATAAAAGTCCTGGAGAAACAAAGCATACAGAGGATATATTTTAAAATAATAAAGGCAATATACAGTAAGCTCATTGACAACATAATCCTAATCAGAGAAAAACTTGAAGCATTTTCACTAAAATGAAACATGACAAGGATGCCCACTCTCTCCACTCTTATTCAGTATAGTATTTTAAATCATAACTAGAGCAATAAAAGAAGGTAAGAAAATAAAAGGATACAAATAGGAAAAGAAGTAGTCAAACTGTCTTTATTTACCTAAAAGACTCCATTAGAGAACTCCTGTATTCAGCCAAGTACAGAATACAAAATTAACACCAAGTTAAGTAGCTTTAATATTTACAAACAAATAATTATAATGAGAAGGAAATTAGGAAAAGAATCTCATTCACCATAGCATAAATGATTTATCTTGTTATAAATCTAACCAAGTATGTGAACGGTTTGGGCAATAAAAGTTTAAGAGGCAGAAGAAAGAAATTAAAGAATACATTCCAGAATGCAAAGCCCTTCCTGCTCATGGATTGGTAGGATTAATATTGTAAAAATGGCTATCCTACCAAAAGCAATTTGCAGATCCAATCCCATATCCATCAAAATCCCAGTGCTATTATTTACAGGAATCAAAACCATAATATCAAGATTCATGTGAAAATATAAGAGACCCAGGATCATCAAAACAGTCCTGAAAAATAGAAAATACCACCAGATATATCAACATTCTTGATTTCAAGTTATAGCTATAGTAGTGAAAACAACAAGATATTGGCATAAAAACAAATATTTTGATTGTTAGAAAAGAATTGAGGACCCTGATAAAATTCCACATCCTTATTCTTCTATTGCCATGTGTTCTTTAACAAAGATGGCAAAGTGCTGCTTACTGGTTTGCTCATCATTGCTTGCTCATCCAGCTTTCTTATAGAATCCAGGACCACTAGCCCAGAAATAGCACGACCTACAAAGGGCTGGGCCCTCTTCCATCAGCCACCAACAAGAAAATGTCCTATAGCTGGATCTTATACAAGCATAACTCATGGAGAAATTAATTCCATAAATTCTGTGACTCTAGAGAACCTTGACTAATACAGATTTTGATACCATAAGTACTTCTGGAGAAACAGAAGTATGAGTTTTTAAAGTATCTGGAACAGTCTTTTCAATTCTCCAGCACTTTCAGCTACTGAGGCCTCTCCAGTCATTCCCTCTCCTGGGAGCTCAGAGAGTACTTAAAGCCCATGGTGTGTACTAATTATGAGTACGGGAGGCATAACTAGCACTAATGACCTTTGAAGACACAACATGGGATTCCACTAACAGAATAGCAGACAATGGAGTGCTTATCTCTAAATGGGATGGTTATATTATACCCCTTCCCAGAAAGGTTGGGTCATCATAGAAGAGGGACAGAATGATTGTAAGAGCCAGAGGTAGTAGGCACCTGTAGTGAAACAACATTCTTTAGATACGACAACACCATTGCACATATAAGCTGAAAGCAGCTGTGAGTCCACGCACAAGACCTGGACAAGATCAAGCCAGCCACAATCTGAGCATGGATACTCCTGTGTGGATATGTGAATACAGGTGGTAGAATTAGTGGGACTCAATGGACTTTTACACAAAAGTGATGGGGGCATAAGGGAGAAATTGGAAATGTGTTTGATTACAATTTATTATGTACATGTATGAAATTCTCAAATGATAAAGTATTCAATTTTTAGAATTCCTCAGTTAGAGAGAATATAGGAGAGTACAGCTGCTATTTCCTGGAGAGAATAATGTCTGTCATTAAAATTTCTTTTGTGTCATAAAAAGGATATACCAAGTTATGAAACCAGACTTGTTCTTTATTTTCTTTCCAAAGGACTGTAATTCTGTGAATGTTGATCATTGTTTGTTCAGTGCTACTGTGGCTTTCTCCATCAATCATACAGCTACATGTTGTGACTCCCAGGAGTAACACTGTCTCAAGTTGCCATCTGCTGTAAGGTAAGTTGATAATGCAAGGTTAGCACAACCTTCTTTAAAGCAGCCAGTTTATCCTGTCAATGTTAGATCTTATCATTTCATCTGGACATAGGCTGGCATAGGGCATGTTACTGCTCTTGAGTAGTTTTGATATTATAAATAGTAACGATGATTAAAAAATATATTGACAATAACTGATCAGTTGTTAATTTTGTGCAAATGCCTGGTAATATGAGCAAGATATTGATAGCATATGTATAAAAACAGTAAGAAATTATTGTGTTAGTTTTACAGAAGACCATACTAAGGCTCAGGGAAGTTGAGAAAGTTGCTAATGTCACACAGGAAATGGAGAAAAAAGGATCTTTTTGAAGTAAAAGACCATTTTATATGGTCATAAAACCAATACATCAATTATCTCTCTACTGTCATCTATCTATCATCTATCTATTTCATTATCATTTATCTTAATATTGATATTGTTTTATAACAACCTATATAATACAATGATATCCTTTACATATCTCAATAATCTTGATGCTCTACTTAATTTGTAAAAATATGAAAACATTCATTAAAAGCCATAATGAGAATGTAGTTTCATAGCAATATTTAGATCATATGTATCCCATGAGTTATTGGAGTACTGAACATATGTTAGTATCAATAGCTCTATGTAACACTTTTTTGTACTTTTTAAGATATTATTTTCACTTAATATTTTAATTACTATTACTTGAAAAATGTCTCTGAAAACCAACAATAGGTATTTCATCTTTATTTGTAGTGATGCACATTCGCTCTTAAATATTCAAACCAAAATTATGAAAATTGACATTCTTAAGGCATTTGAAATCATACAATTAATACAGCTAATTTGATTGCAATTGGTAGGAACTCATCACTATTATTTATACTTGAATCAAGGGGAGAAGCATCCTGAGAGTAGTAGTCTTTTTATTGATATGTAGCCTGCCTCTACTGGGATATGGTCTTCATGAAAAGTCATTTAGACCATTTAACAAGAGAGCAAACCCATTAAAAATATGCAAGCTCTTGGAAAACAAAATCCTGTATACTAATTAAGCCTATTAAGGCAATTACAGAGCACTATAAATGATGCGAAAGTTGTATGGGGCTTTTCCTAGTACTGATGACAGAAAGCTAAGGAGTTCCTATTTTTCTAAATAGAGATAAAGAGTATGGGTGATTAATTTTAGCACTATTGAGTTAATTTGCAGTAAGTTAATGGCAGAAAACATTTCCATCGGCCCAGAATAATGGTGGAAGATGGCTGTTTTACCACCCTGTGGTAAAACTGTTTGTCATTGCATGTTTCAGTCATCCAGGGAGAACAAAATCCACCTGTTGGTAAGAAAATGGAAAGAGTAAAAGGTTTGTGAAATAATTTGCCATCTTCAACTGTCGTTGAATCTCTGAGGTTTTCTTGTCTAGCTTGTAAAATTGGGGAATTTCTTAACTGCTGCCTTAGTACCTTTTGACGGGTGATCAAAACATTTTGACTTGCTTTTCAAAAGACAACTGGAGGCTTTCTAGTTGGTAATAGGAATGTCAAATCTATACCCTGAAAGGCACTGATTATTGCATGGTCCTATTAGAAGCTATGCCATTTAGGAAACATGGAAAACCAGGTGGAGGGCAATGAAACCTTGAAGAAAATGTTTTATATATGATTTCTGAGAATTTCTTTTCTTATGCTTAGCAGTCTCTTAGCCAATGTTTATAACCACTCAACACAAGAGCTTTAATAAGAATATCTATGCCTTCCGCTTAGATGAATGATTGAAATAGAAAAGTTAAGAAATTCTCCCAAGAACATCCAGGAAAGAAGTATTAGATCAGGGCCTAGGTTTCCAATGGCCTAGTTTGATGCCACTCCAATAAGGTAATCCATGACATAATGCCATTTGTCCCCCAATCTAGGCTGTCCAATGATATTTTAATTGTGTGTGATTTACAGTATCATGCATTGTATAAAATAGGTTTAATATTATTTACTAAATTACAACAGATGTGCAAAGTCAGCCAGGGCAGCATAAGCGTGAAGGAAGGGCGATGAACAGCATATGTGGTTGTCTATTAGAGTCTTCCTTGGTGGTTTTTGCTGGGGATGGAAGTTATCAACAGAACTGCTGGAGGATGCAGATTCAGATGCACTGTTCACCTCCAGAGCTCATCATAGCAGAATAACTTACTTGCTTTGGTATTGCATTAGTAATTGCTATCCCCTCTTAATGTGTTCCTATAGAAGTAGATAGATTTTAATTGGCATATGTCCCATGACAGAATGAAGTGGTGTATAAAGATGAACAAACAAAAAAACCTAAACAAAATTAATGTACTTTTTTAACCTCAAATCTCAAAGCTTCATGCATTTTACTTACAAAGGCATAGTTAACTGAGTTACTGTATTCCCCGTTGTTGCAATGTATTTCTTCAAAGGGGTATTTCTTAATGGAGGCCTTATGAAAAGTAACAACTGTTTCATCTGACAACAGACAGTTTAAAAAAAAACTGTGGAATAAATTCTGCATGCATTTCATTGCTTGTGGCCTAAGCAATTCTATTCTGGTCTGTTTTTAGATTGTGTTTCCCGCTGAGTTAAATTTTGTTTTTATTGAAAATAATTTTTCATGAAGTATATTCTGATCATACTCTTCCTCCCTCATCTCCTTCCAGATCCTTCACACCCATACAACTAACTCCATATCCTTTTCTCTATATCTATAGAAAACTAACAGGCCAATTAAAATAAAACAAACAAATCAGAATAAAACAGAGAAATCAAAACCAAAGAAAAAACATAAAGGACTTATGCACATTCAGAAATACAAACATGCACATACACAAAA